GTGACCCTCGTTGTACAGCTCTGCTCCCACACTGGTAATTCCAGGAGATGAAAGTCACCGATTTCAAGCAGAAATGTGAGACAGCCCAGTCGAACCTTCATTTAAAAAAACAAAAAACAAAAAAAAAAAAACCACCTTACTCATCCTCTCTCTTGAAAAGTTCAATTTATTGGGATAGCAATGAAATGGTCATTGATCAGGTTCGCCGAGCTCTGCAATTCCTCTCACTTCCAAGAATAAAAATCCATCCCCGGAGCCCAGGCATCTGCTTTGTAGCTTCACACTGGTGTCCGCCCACAAGCCGTGCCCTCCAGGGGCCGGACGGGCCTCCGCTCCCAAGTTTATTGTCATTTCCAACTAACGTCAAGGATTATTTCTACTTCTTTGATGTTCCCAGTTTTACCTTGTTTAAGATTAATAAAGCGATTACAATCCTCTCAATTAAGAAGCTGTTTTAAAATGCACTTTTAATTCCGGTTTGTGAGCAACTCAATTATTTCTATTTGTTTTTCTTCTCGAGTGGATAATTTCTTCTGTCTTAGAGTAGTACGGCGATCTTTTTCTTAAAGAAAGAGGAAATATTGGGCCAAGTTTTTCCCTAGAACTTAGCATCTTAGGCTCAAATCATCAAACACGCCTTCCTGGACAGAAGAGTAAGCAACTCTCAGATCTCATAAACCATCGTCTCTGTTCTCACTTCAAAGTTAACCTTTCTGATGGGCCTAGAGGGCATTACGCTGAGTGGAATAAGTCAGACAGGAAAAGACAAATACCATATGATTTCGCTTAAATGTAGAATTTAAAAAAAACAAACAAACAAAACAAACGAATAAACAAAACAGAAACAAACTCATAGATACAGAGAACAAACTGATAGTTTCCAGATAAGAGAGAAGTTGAGGAGACAGGTGAAAGTGGGTAAAAAAGGTGAAAGGGATTAAGATGTGCAAACTGCCAGTTATAAAAATAGTCACAGGGCTGTAAAGTACAGTGCAGGAACAGTCAATAATATGGTGATCACTACGCACGGTGCCAGGCGGGTACTGGATTTACCAGGCGGATCTCTTCGTAAGGTATAGAAATGTCTAATCACTACGTTGTACACCTAAAACTAATATAACATCGTATGTCAACCGTAACTGAAAAGTAAAAATAAATTTCTTTAAAAAGAAGTTCAACTTTTCGAGGTGCTCCAACCATCCCCTCCCTCGGACCCCATCCTCGAGGTGCTACCTCTTCTCTAGAGCCTTTCTAGATTTTTCTTCCAGCCTCCTAGACCACCGCCAAATGGAAAGTGCCCTCAGCTTCCATGAAATTCTTGCACTTTTGCCACCAACCATGGTAATTATTTTCTAAATGATGTGGTAGGAATTTGGGAATCGTTTTTCTTGCTGTCAACCGACATCGAGCATCTCTATGTGTCAGATGCTGTGCTGGGTGCCCAGGACACAAAAATAAATGAAGTCGAGGTTCTGGCCCTCAGTGGGCTTACGGTCCCTTGGGAGAGACAACACTAGAATGAGGTGACGCTAGTGCAGGGGGGAAGTCAGTGACTAGGGAAATATGACAGCGATTAGGGCATTGGAAGTTGGGTCTTAAACAGAAGTTTGATTATTGAGCAAAAAAATAGCAAGGGAGGGTTCTTCTAGGTAAAAAGGACATTGTGTACAACAGTGCTTGGCACAGGGTGGGGACAGGCACTCGACGTACATTAAATGAATGAAGCAAAGGCCCGGAAGGTCCCAGCATTGACTCCGCCCACCCTCACTACTACGTCTCCATTTCTGGAGCGGCAACATGAGGCCGCCCCTCATGTCCGGCCCATAAATTAAGCAGCATCGTCCTAATTTTCCGGATGAGAAAATTGGAGTCTTCAGGACCCCAAAGCTATCAAGAAGCAGAGCCTGGCCTGCGTTCCTCATAATAGAGGGACGTGTGAATGAGCTCACCTTCGGGGACCGATTTCTAGAGCAAACCCTTAGCTTTCTTATTCTGCTCCTAGGTGGACCGCTCCAGGCAGCCCTCAAAGGCCCCCGAACACCACCTCTGGTGACACACACTGGGATGGAGGGAGGGAGAAGCGGCCATGCAGATTCTGGGGATAGTGGGGACCTGTGTCGGCCTATAAACCTATCGTTAGTCCTCTCGGGGTGTTTGGTCTCAGTGGCCCCACATGAGGGCCCCGTTTCCTAATTTACAAAAGACAATCTGGAAAGAGCCGCCCAAAAGTCACCCAAGGCCAATTCAGGCTCATAACGCTCTCCTGGGGCTTAAAGAATTGAACTGATTCTCTGGCTTTCTGGGACAAAGCATTTCGTTTTTGATAGAGTTCTCTTTCCCCCTTTGCTTCATCTGATCATTTTCTCAATTTCTCTCTGGTTCGGGCTTTTTCTGTAACACTTGTATCGGGCACAAGCTTTTTTTCTCCCAGCTGAGACTATTATATCTCGCTATTGTGATGTTCCCTTTCCCCTGAAAGCAATCAAAAATGAAAATCCACATTTCAGAACAATGTCTATTAAATATACACCTTTTGTGGATAAAATAAAAGAAAGCGCTCGCCGAAGGCTGATTTTCAGCTCCGTGTATCACCTGAAGATTAGCTACGAGGGGGGACCTGCTCCCTCATAGGCCATCTGCATTTGGATAACTGAGAGTAAGGGCGGAAAGTCTGGAGTC